AATAATGTTTTGTCAAAAAAAATTTATTTTTGATTTTCCATTTTCTTATAACAGTTAGCATTTTTAAGTAAGTTGTAAAATTTTAATATTTATTTTTTTAGTTAAATTATATTTGGGATATTAATTTCGTTTTTAATATAATTTGGAAACATTGACATTTTCTAAAAATGATACTTTACATTTAGTATATCTAAAAAGATAATATTGTTTTGTTAATATTACGTTTTTTATTTTTGATTTTCCATTTTTTATAACATTTAACATTTTTAAGTAATTTGTAAAATGTTAATATTTATTTTGTTAGCTAAGTTATATATGGAATATTAATTTCGTTTTTAATATAATTTGGAAACAATGACATTTTATAAAAATAATAAACTAATATAATGATGTGTCATTATACGATTGGAGAACTTAAATCCTACGTGGACGTCCTCAATGACTTATAGCCTCAACTTTTATATAGTCCTTCGCCGCGAGTGTTCAATTTTCGGTGATACTGCAAATCCGGTCCTCTAAGTGAGTAATCTATCTAATTCAAAGTTGTCTCTACTCTAATCTAACTTAATTATAGCTTAATTGCATGTTTGATTTCGAAAACCCTAAATCTCAATTTTTCCTAAATTCTCCCAATTTTCGAATTTCACATATTTTGGTCTATCTAATTTGAAGTTGTCTCTACTCTAATCTAACTTAATTATAGCTTAATTGCATGTTTGATTTCGAAAACCCTAAATCCCAATTTTCTCCAAATTCTCCCAATTTTTGAATTTCACATATTTTGGTCTATCTAATTTGAAGTTGTCTCTACTCTAATCTAACTTAATTATAGCTTAATTGCATGTTTGATTTCGAAAACCCTAAATCCCAAATTTCCCTAAATTCTCCCAATTTTCGAATTTCACCTTTTTGGTCTACTTTTCTTATAAGAAATTGTTTATTTCTTGTACCGGATTATATTGAACAAGATTTTTGGGGTTTCGTTTGTTCTGTTTGTTTTTCCAAAGTTTGTTATGTTGAATAAACTTTGAATCTACAAACTTTATGTATAACTCGATCCATTGTGTTTCTTTTGGTTATGCTATTACTAATTTTTTATACAAATCTTTATGTTTTACGTATGGCTTCTTCTTCAGGTATTACGAGAAAGTATCCGCGACGTTTTTATGAGCTAGGAAAAAACCCCATTCAGAATAGGAGCATGAACCATAGCTGTTTTCTGGTCAATCTTCAAGCGTTTGAAGAAGCTGTTGGGGAAGATTTTTGGTCTGAGTTGAGAGAATCAGCTGTTGAAGTTATTGTTAAGCTGAAGGAGATGGAGTATATTTGGTCTACGAAAGCTGTTCATCATTTCCTTGCCAATCAACTCGCCATCACGAGCCTCCATGAGATTTGGTCTTTGATAGATTGTATGCCAATACGGTTCTCCTTGTATGAGTTTGGAGAGTTTACTGGTCTAAACTGTGATGCTTTCGACAAGCATGATGTATGGGATGTGGATCATCTAGAGTTTTGGGGGGGGGGGGGATGAATGTTCCACCATCAGAAGGACCTACATTGAAAAAGTTACAAGCGATATTGGTGAAGTGCATAAACTGGTTTCGAGACAAGCGAGTGATGGTCGGATTGTTGGGGCTGCTAAGCATTGGTATATTTGGCATCTCAAGCAACAACATGATTTCTTTGCATTGTGCCAAAAGAGTGATGTACAAGGCAGCTTTCCAGCGCTATCCATAGGGCCGGCTTGGATTTAGCAGCCTTGTTCAATCCATTAAAATGATCACATTTCAAGCAGAGAAGAGTTACACAGTTCGAGGTTGTGTTCACGTCCTTTTAATATGGATTTATGAATTCGTCTCTGGTATTGGAAAATAATATGGGAATCAGATAGAGGGAGCTGACGTTCCTCTTCTATCATGGGGGGGGGGGATCTCGTTCCCGTATAAACTTCCAAGAATTCTGTGTACAGGAAAAAATACAGCATAGGTACAAAATTTCTCTGATTTCTTGTTCTTTTTGTTGTTTATTTCTTCACCATTGAGAGAGATTTGTGATTTGAATTTTTTTTTTGATTTTTAAAGACACTAGTTAGACCATCCGACCATCACTCGCTTTAGGCTATTTTTTCGGATTGCTAAGAGTGATTTGAAAAATTGTGTTGTTGTGAGCTTGATTACTTTTGTTTTACTCATTGGTCGCTAGGGAAGAAGAATCAGGTTATATTATGTGGTTTCTTTACGTTAAGAGTGCTTAGCTAATCTTGTATATAATTTACAGGTGCGCGTCAGGCATATGGTTATGAAGCCAGTGGAAGAAATATATCCGAAATGGGCGAATGATGAATTCGAGCCTGAGCTGGACAACCTGATAAAAGACATACTCGATGGCCAGCTAAATGAGAAGTTTTGGGATGTAACTTCAACTACCAAATCTCCCGAGAAGAGAAAATATGGTGTTGGCGCATCTGTTATTCCTAATATGGGCCCTTCTACTAAGCGACATAAGGGAAAAGAACCTGATCATAATAACGAAGCATCTGATATGGTATGTATAGAAATTTCCTTCACTTAATGATAGCACCAATTTTTTTAATTTTGTCACTGACTTGTTTCGTTTTTGGAGTTGAAGTTCGCAGATCAGAACGCCGCTATACTTAACTTAATTTCCAAACTTACTGCAAAAATAGAAGGCATGGATGTTAGCGTATCTGAGAGAGTTTGTAAGAGTTTAGAAGGTACCATACAAGATAAGGTGGACGCTAGAGTAGATTCCATGAGGGCTGAGTTGCTGCAGAAGATCACAAGTTTGGAGGAAGATGTAAAATTTTATAAAAACAAGGCTGATGTAAAATTTTATACAACATGTTTTATTAAAATTAGACATCAAAAATGTGCTATTTTATTTATAGCAATCATGTATTTGTATTTGTATTTATAATTTTATAGTTTAGTATAACATTTTATTAATTAATATTGTTGTATAATTTCTATATATATATATATATATATATATATATGTGTGTGTGTGTGTGTGTGTGTTTGTTATTTATCAATGTTTTATAAATTTACATTAACTATGAAAAATATAAGGACAAAAGTGTAAAATATAAATAATTTTAAAGTTAAATATGAAGTTTTGCTTTTGGAGAAAAACACCTTAAAATTTTAAATATAAAATTGAATTTTTTTTAAAATAGAGAGTTTTTTGAGAGATTCTCTAATCAAAGTTGGATATTAAATCTTATTAAATCTTATTCCAATCCCACTCCAATCATTAAATACTAAATCCTAGACTCTAATCAGTAAATTTTAAACCCAAATATAAACCTTAAACTCAAATAGAATGAAACAAAATAAATATCATAGTACATATTAGTAGAATTATAAAAACCTAATCACTAAACTATAAACCCAATTATACATCCAAAACCCAAATATAAACCCTCAACCTATATACCAACATCTAAAAATTACACAATATTATGTAATCTTAAACTCTATGTGTATATTTCTATACTATATGCATATAATAGAATAGAATACAAAAATCTAAAAACTAAACCCTATTAAAACCCTATTTTTAATTCCACCCCCACCTTTCAAATACTAAACCCTAAAACTTTAATCATTAAATCCTAATCCATAATCACTAAATACGAATTTAAAATATAATTAAAGTAATATCTGAAAATAGTAAATTATATTATATAACTAGGAAAAATATAATAGACTTGAAAACTTAAAAGTATTATTAACATAAAAAGAAAGAAAGATAGTTCAAAAGAGACAACAATTCTGGATTTGCGTAGTTGGTGTTTTATTTTAGTGGAAGGTAGAAAACATAAGAACATCGATGGTGGCGTATCAGTTGACAGGGCTAATAATCAACTATATAAGTGGAAATAAGTGAAGTGGAGTAATCATGATTTATGTTTTCGTTGTTGATATTAAAAGAAACAGAGATCTGTAAAAAGAAGATGAAGATAAAATAGAATAAAGAATAAATAGAAAGAGGTCATACCGATAGATTGCAATGATATTTTGGCATATATGATAGAAAATATGTTGAATAGTGTTGTCAATCTTTTTTAGTTTGAGAACTAAGTATAATTTTTTTGCTGTATATTACGTGCAATTTCCCAATATAAATTGTATTTTTATTAGGCATGGGCATTAGGGTTTGGATCGGACAATTCAGATATGAGAAAATTGGTATTAATCAGATAATTTTAAATATCAAATTGGATTTGGTTCAGTACTTGTGAGATTCAGATATTTTTGGGTATACTCGAATGAACTGACTTTTTTTTTGTTCTGATTCTGATTTACTTGTTATAATCCAAATGTATAAAAAATAATCGATTTTATCCGAACGATCTGATTTTAGATCTGATTTTTATATCCAACCATGTCCAATAATATCCAAAAGTAACCAAAAATAGTTAAAATATCTGAATTATCCAAAATAACTAAAATATTTAAATTATTATAAATATTATTATAACTACATTTCTAGATATATATTTATATTTTTAGATATTTTCAAATACTCGTAACTTTTTGGGGTTCTGGTTCAAATCCAGTTCTTCGGATATAAGAAATCATGTACTGTTCGAACCGGATTCGGTTCGGTTATGTACCTTGAAATTTGGATCGGATCCAGAGTTGGAGAGTGAAAATTCTGAACACCTAACTTGGACCATAAGATATTTACGATTTAATTATTTTGATAAGAATGTTTGTAAGTTGATCATCCTTGCTTCTGATATGATGCATTGAGATAAGACTATCATGACTTCCATCACAAACATTATGACACTCATGTGTTTAGTTCTTTATGAAAAACCAGATTCAAATCAATATGAATTGCAGTTTGACTATCACAATAGAAAGTGACAAGTGTACTAATAGAAATACCAAAATCTTTGAGAAAATGTAGGATCTACTTGATCTCACGACTAACTACAGTCATAACTCGATATTCAGATTCTGTGAAAGAGTGAGATATTATGTATTGCTTCTTATTTTTCAAAAAAAAATTGAAAGTCCACTAAGCATAACTATAAACAATCTTACCTTGATGGGTGATAGGGGGTCTGAGGAGTAATCAGCAATACAATATACAAAGAGCTCCAAGTTATCAGTTGCGCATAAAAGAATACATTGTCCTAGTGATCCTTAGAGAAAACGGACAATGCAGTTTTCCAGTGGACCTTATAAGGAGCTTTCATAAATTGAAGTAGAATATGAAGGGAATACCATAGCTTCGTTTGCTGAGATCGAAAGATACTAACCTTCCAACTAATCGACAATACTTATTTAGATTAGAAAATAAAGGTTCAGATGATAAAGTGATAAATTGGTGAATTTTAGTAAATAAAGTGATACTAGGCATTTTGCCCGCACCTGCAAACATAATAGTTTTATAAATATTTGAAATAAATATTTACCAGTTGAAATAAAATTAAAAAGAAATTAATGTTCGTATATTCAATATATTTAATAAAAATTATACAATAAACTCTTTATATATACAAGCTTATAAATACTTTAAAGTAAATACATAAAATTAAAATAATTAAGGTAATGTTCATACATTCAAAATATTTAATAAAAATTAAATAATAAACTTTTTTTGAACAAAAAAATAACAAACTCTTTACAGATACATGTTCTTATCGTAACATAAATATTTTTTTTATCATGTATCATAAACTTAAAAACACTAATACTTTTGAAATATTTAGTAATAAATAAAATCTTAAGTTTTTTTACATATGTCAAAATTTGTCAATATAATAAAATTATATTTTATTGCGTAAAATAAATCTAAAACATTAATATATGCATTAATTTATATACAATAGATATTTGGATTTATATTTTATAATTTAAAAATTTTTAAAAATCTTTACAAAATATTTTTTTAATAACCAACATAAATTATTTTTATGGAAGGATGATTATCAAATAAATGATTTTTTTAACTTTATGATTAGTTATATTATATATTAGTAAATATAATATTTCATTAACTCTTAGTAAAGATTGTATAACATAAGAGAATCTTTGACCATCTCGTATTCCATTTTTTCCTCTCAAACAAAGATTGCTAAAAAGAACATTTCTCTATAATCAAGGTATATTTTTCATTCAGAAAATGGTCCTTTAACTTTTAATGCTAACAATTATAACCAAAAATAAATATTTTTTCTTGAAATATATTGTTTATATAAATATAATCATATTTTTATTTACATAATAGTTTCTAAAGAAGTCGTTAGTGTATGATATCATAAATTTACGAAATTTTAAAATAAATTGGATTGTATTTCAACTTTAACAAACAAAATGTATTATTTATAAAATTAAAAGAATATCTTAAGAATATTTCTTATAGAGGAAGATATAGAAGGATATATTGGAGACAAATCCATCTCTATTATAGAGTTTTCCTATTTTAGAGAAAAAATATGGGAATACATTGGAGATAGTATAATAGAAATTATTGCTAGATAATAATAATTAGCAA